AGAAAACCAAATATAATCTAGGACAACGACTTGCAAACAGATTGAATTATGGAACATCAAAACCGAATATATTCGATCTCAACCCAGCTGAAAAGGAATAATAGGCGGCCATACCTTCTGACTACAATATAGAAACAAACAGAAAAGATCAGCAACTGCACTGATCTGAAATTTTCGATTACCAGATAGAAATGCCGAAAGTAAGTGTTAAATGTGTCCGGATAGTGACTGGAACACTCGGCTTCTCTTAACACATCACGATTACGAGCTTTGCTTCCATTCGACCACGTGTTAATTTTATTCCAGAATATCAGGTAAACAATGAACACGAGAATTTTACACGTGGTCGAATGGAAGTAAAGCTCGTAATCGTGATGTGTTAAGGGAAGACGAGTGTTCCAGTCACTATCCGGATTCATTTAACACTTTCTTCCATCAATTCAATCTGGTAATTTGACTCCTGACTACAATATAGCAGCAAACAAAAAAGATCAGTAACTGCACTGATCTGAAATTTGAGATTACCAGATTGAAATGCCAGAAGAAAGTGTTAAAGGAATCCGGGTAGTGACTGGAACACTCGGCTCCATCACATTGAAGGTTAAAAGCTTTGAGGAACAATTTGCTGTAAACTTTGCTATAAACTTTGTAAACGCTACAAAAATCTACCTTATTAATTACAGCAAACATAGTTCGAAAGGTACAGTCTGAGGATCTAGTGACTTAACAGGCATTATCTTCCTTGGTACTTAAGACAACCACAAACAACAGTTTTATTAAAGATGACTGATAAAGTACCGTGATTAAGATTATTATTCAATTTTACTTGCATTCAACAAGTAATTACTTTTCTAGACATAAAGAGTGTAATAACTGTCTAAATGTTTTTATATATCCGAGCACCTTCGGCCATTCTATCAAGTATTTTTGAAAAATTCTTTTTCTTTTTAACACATCAGGTATATTTTATACATATATGTATATATATTGACGGGACTGATTTTTTGTTATTTTTGTTGCAAGCAGTTTATACGTTTCTCAAATTGTTGCGGGCGTTAGTAACGTCAGTATTTGAAATAATAATAATACGCTGTCTCCTGAAATACCCACAACAAAGATGGCATAAGTCCATATAAATGGAAAGAAATATCAAGAACCAATGTATATGTACAAACAAATGATAATGAATTAACAAGATAGGCACACAAATGACAAATACAATGTGTGTGCCAAATGAATGTGAAACCCTTTGATTTAAAGTATGTGAAGACGATGAATATGCGTACGTACGCGTGTTGCGCATGTGTGGTTAGTTCATGTGTTTCCGAAAAGGAACGCGTTCTCCGCGAGAGATTTACATGTTGACGTGTAAGCGGAAAAAGTAAGAAGAGGCTACAAAAGTTACCACAGATTATTTATAGTCAGCAGACCGTCTTCTAGGGGTGGTTTATGAAACTAGAAGGGGTTAACACGACACTTTCCAAACACGATCAGCACTTTGTGATCATTTTCATTGTTGTTATTACTTAATCTATTGTTAAAACTTATGTAAAAGAGGTATTATTGGCCAAATACACAATTATATATATATATATATATATATATATATATATATATATTAACATTTATATCATTTAATATCATTTTCGTGTTGGCTTCATGGCAGCCCTATTACATAAATTACTTCATCTTCAAGTGTTTATTTCTAATGGTAACAAATCATAATACCTGAATTTTTGCATAAGTTCAAATAGGTTGCTGCTAATTAATTTAAACATATTAATTTTGTGCATCACTCGAAGTACGGGAAAAAATTGTAAGGTGTTCTGTTAAATTGGAAAATTAAAATCAATTTTAAAGTCAGTTTATATGCAAACACGTTCGCACGCAGATTCACGCAAGTAAAAACATTGACTTTCACAAACACACATACTTTAACAGACATTATCAAATAGCGATAGATATGAGCAGACAATTCAAAACATGACTATAATTGAAAAACATACACATATGCACACAAATTATTCGATATTAGATTCATCACGATCTGATTACAGGGCAACCTGGTGGTGAGATGGTTGAAACCACACAGTAATGCCGTCTCATAATGGTCAGTATAAAAATTAGTGATTTGGGCGAATGATTTGATGAACAAATGTTTTTTAGATGACGGCGGAGACGCGACAGAGGATGATGGGTCCAGCACACAACTGGTGGCTTTGGTTTGTTAACCCGCTTAGCTTCCAAATCTTCTTTTAGATTTCTCAATATCTCAATTTTTCCCAATTGGGTTTCTTTTTTTCTGTATTTCTGAGGCATTATTGTGTACGACGCCGTGCGACTGTGTGTTCTTTGCCCTAAGGGCTTCAGGGGACTGAGTTTCTGCTGTCTGGCTATTCCCTCTGCCTCTACCAAAGATACAGCATTCCCCTTCTTCCTTTTCCTTGTTCACAATTTTTTTTTTTTAAATTATTTTTTTTTATGGTGGAGGATGTGGAAAAGGGCCCAAATGAGGGTTTGTCCGCACTAGCCTTATCGTTGGTAGGCCCATTATAGCCGCCGCAAAACTATCAGTATCGGCCAGAGTGGTAGTTGTGCCACCTGGTGCCGGAGGTCCAGAGGCCTTCTCATTTCGCCAATCTCTTCACATTTCCAACAAGATTGTCTTCTGCCGGCATTTTCCTGTCGCACAGTTAGGGATGGAGACGAAGTCCAAAGGATCGAGTATTATATCAAAGCCCCATTCCCCGTTCAGGTTGTCAGAGGTCGCACTAAGGATTTAGCCATACCGATTAAAAAAGGCAGCTATGTGTTCTCATAAACGTCGTGGAGGGAGTCGAATACTGCTACTTGTCTTTCGCTAACACTCGAATTCGGTTATTATCATGAGGTTCATCATTATCAACTCTCTTCTCGCCACTTGGAGATAATCTTTGGGCAGCAGTACTTCTCACATGGAAAACTCGTTAATTTTATTACTGTTTGCAGTTTCACCCCTAAGGACGTCAGTGATCGAATAAGTGTTTCTTTGTGGAGCGACAAATTTTGCGCGTACGTTTGTACACCAGGAAGAATGAATCTATTTTCTTTTCGAACTTCTGGCATTGTTGGGAGATCTTCTAAGCGTCCATCTTTTTCATTAGTGTTCGTAACGTTTTGCTTTATCAAATAATTCCGCAGTGGCTGGGATTTCCAAAACGGAATCCACGGTTGTCGGTTTTTCAGATGTTTCCATTTCTTTTGCACATTCTGGTTAATAGTTTTACTGCTACTATATTTGGTCTGTTTATTTTCTGTACTACTATTATCTTTAGTGAGTACATTCATTCCATTAACTGGAGGGTTCGAGATTGCTTCTACTAGGTTTCTTTTTACTGGGGAGGTTTGCTTTAGACGTAGACCCGAAATGGTTCTTTCTAATCCGACAAAGGCCATCTTGGGAAAGAATTTACCCCCTAACTAAACAGATAAATATTTATTTTATTTTTTTTATTATTTTTACCTTGTGAAAAAATAATATTTGGAGGGGAGGAGAAAAATAAGAAACGATAACAGGTTACTATGTAAGATTCAAGAAGAAAATAAAAAGTAGATTTCTTGTAAATAATAGAACAATTTAAACAAAAAGAATCACCATAAACAGGGTTGGGGGAGAAAATAAAAAATGATAGTACACAAAAACAAGTTGCATTTTAAAAAAAAGAGTGTTTAAACTTAAAGCAATAAACTTTAAGAAATAAAAATGTTAAACCAAAAGATAAAATATAAGTCGGCCTAAATCGGAGGGAAATCTAAAATAATCAAACGATTGACAAAAAAAAACAATCCGTTCAAATGTAAAATAAAAAATAATTAATAAAAAAAAAATTCTTAAAAACAAATTCAAATAAGGTAGATAATAAATAAAAGAGGAAAGTAAATTAAACAAAAAGGAAACATAACAAGTAGTTTGGTAAAGATTTAGTAAAAAAAAAAACAAAAAAAAACTAGAATTAAATATGGCGGCCAAACCTACGAGAAAACTGAAAAAAAAGGACTGCCAAGAAGAAAAGAATAAGCTGTTAAAAAAGTACAAAAACAAAAAAAGGATTTTTTAAAAAGTTTTCAAGTTTTTCTGATCACGCCAATAAAATTAAAGGAACTATAAATTCATTACAAAAGCAACAAAAAAAGAAGTTTTTTAAGACTTTAGTCAAACCAGGAAAATAAAAATAATGATGGTGGAAAACGGGAAAAAAGACCTAAATGAAAAAATGAAAAATAAGTTAATTAAATCAGCTTAACAAAGTCTCTTTCAGTCGAAAAATTTCTTAATAATATCCAAAAGGCATTTGTAGCATTCGAGCTTCGTCCAACAGCAGAAACTAATGCCGAGTCGCCAGATCAGGAGAAATGATATTGCTGGTTCTTCTTTTTATATCAAGAATATCTAAATATACAGCAACTAATATAGCAATGAATTCAATATGAATTATATATTTTGAAAATTGTAATACTATTTAAACAACATATATTGTTCAAAATTGGCTATATTTATTGAGAATTGCTCAATATCGGAGATAAATGCTTTTAAAACAGCAAACGTAAATAATTAAATGAAGGAATTAAAACATAAGTATATAGCAAATAAAGAATATAATAAAATTAACAATGTATAAATAAAAAAAGATCAAAAACATTAGCTCTAAGTGTAAGACCATAGACTGTTCCTTTATATTCAACCCCTGGGCTCTAAAAGCGACCGTGCAAGAAGTGTCACGTAGTCTGAAGGTTAGGAATGTTTTTTTCCACCGTCCCAAACGCTGATCATGTGGAACCAGCAAAGAGTTCATGGACAAATAGTGATATCGTTTTGCTTGCAGTAGGAAATTTACATGAGATATTTTGCCGAATAAAAATATTTTCGTCAGGTTATGATGACGAACAAGATAGGTCATGGATGCCCAACCACTCCTCGCTCTTGGTCTTTGTGTTATATGTTCTGTTCTTAATGTAAAATTATGCATTCTGGGTTTGAAGATCTCTTTAGTCACGGAATCGACAGATCATATCTATGTTTACGTTGCTTCTCTCATTCTGTCTCTATTTTTACAAACACATATACACACACATCTGCCTGCGTAGGCACATGCAGGTGTGGTCAGGAATAAAAAAAAATTCCCCTGTGTCTTATATGTTATCTGTAGGTTGAAAACCCACGATAGTCGGCCGAAATTAGTTACCTGACAACTCCTATTAGCTTACACTTTAGAGTAATTTTCATAACGTATTGCCATTATTTAAAATGCATTATCAAGTGTTATCATTGATAATATTCATTATATTAATTTCATCACGTTTAATATTAATAATTTGTTTCACGAAATTATATACAATAAATTCAAATTATATATTTGTAAAATTTAGTTCTTTCATTAATATCTTTCTTGCGATAACTCCCGGTTGATATAAATACAATCAGAATTTTTATATCCTAACTAGCAGCATGACCCGGCGTTGCCCGTGCTTGATTCAAAAAACATACGACTCATACAGCAATCGCTATCACTTGACTGAAAATATTTTTGCCCTTTCTTGGCTTTAAAGGAGTGACTTCTTGCCTATCTCACACTGAGAATTTTTTTCTAAGCTCTATACTAAACATTAAATCTGTTACGAAAAAAGAACTAAACAAAATGAACACAAAACGATCAGCATTAAAAAAGGCCTCGTAACTGGAAAAACCGAATGAAAAAAGAATGTTAACAACAAATACTTTTTCACACCAACCCAGTTCAGGGGAATCAGAATCAACGTTGAGTTTAAGCAAGCGAATGAGCCAATTGGAGTAAAGTGCCATGAAGATTTAATTTTTTCCAACTTGTGACGAATGCAGCTATCGATTTTTTGCATGCTAGCATGCTAGTTAACATTCGTGTCAGTCAGCTGTTGGCTCTCATGCTGGCCAATAGAATCTTCCTGCCTATTCGTGCCAGCCAGCTATTGACTCTCACTCTGACCAGTAGAAAATGGCCGCAAACTACATGAAAACTGCCAGAGAAGCATGAAAATATCTATTATTTTCACTATCGATGGGAGTTGGGAAATGCAATGTCGGTCTTGGCCTTTCCGCTAACTTGGAGCATGTGCATGTAAATTTTGGCGCAAATCCGTCGAAAATTGCGGCCGTGCATTCGTTACACACACACACACACACACACACACACACACACACACACACACACACATCCTGCTTTTTATAGATAGAGATTATTCCACTCTGACGTTTACAAGACGAAGGTTGTACAGATCATATAATGGAAAGTTTTTGGCTGAATATTAATGGTAACTGTACTGTTTTGCTCAATTGTAATAATTGGTTGATTTTGTTTTGTTTTCTTGCTTTCGGATATAATTAATTCTTATAGGCACGTGTTCTTTTTTTCCCTGTTATTTTTCGTTTGATTGTAATCATGGCTTGTTTAACTAAAATAATACCTCATAAATATAGCCTAGGTTGTAACATTTAATAAAAATTTTACTAATTTTACTTATTACAATTTTTTTCTTGATTTGCCTTTCTGTAATTGGGGTGCGTCTTATACACCGGTGCGTCTTATATGCCGTCAAATACGGTAATTCCCACAAGTCTGCATAAAAGATTTCGAATTCTGCCAGGGCTTGTAAAAGAGGATCAGCTGCTTCAGCCCAGATATAGCACAAACATTCTATTTTTAATCTGATCTGACACTCGTAAATTTACAACCTAGCAGAAAGATCCTGAGACTTTCTGTTACGGTACCAGAAGCCGACCATTTTTTTAAGTATCAATAATAACGAATCGTTTATATTAGTTCCATGCCCTGAAGTGAACTTGAGTTCCAACAGGGTCTCAAAGAAATGAGCCTCAACAGAGTTTCAAAGCAATGAGCCTCATGTGCAAATGTCAAGACTGGGAACAATTCAGAGCCTGCTCGCTGATAACACTTTACTATTTCGGTTTTTGCGGTATTGAAATTTACAAACCAGTCTCTCACCGACGGATTAAGCAATTAGAGATAGATAAGGGATAAGTCACTAGCTTCTCTTCATCTCCATTTTAGTAGGTGCAGTATTAAACCACTGTGACATTACCATGCAGATTTACTAATGATTAGAGTATTTTGTTTTGGCAGGCGACATTAGTGCACTGTGTCATATACAATGATATAATCTGGTGGTAATATCTCATTTTGATTGTGGGAAAAAATGACACACTCAGTAAAAATCTACTCTTGACGGACCGAAAAATGATTTTAGAAAGCAAGAGAGACATGGGAAACGTTTGATAACTTGAACGTTGTACATATTGAGCACTCATTTTAACATCTTATATTGATAGAGAATTGTACAAAATGGCTTTGATCAAGTGAAGCATATGGCTCTTAGTGAAAACCACACTGATTTGAACCTTGTGAACTGGCGCTACATAATCATAAACAATGAACAGAAACCCCATCAACTGAGGAATTTCAAAATCAGTAATAAGTGAAATTGATATGCAATGTAACTGGAAGAAAAATAATGACATAATAAATGACGTCGATATTCTACACAGTAATAAATGGTTAGGATGTAAAACTCTATCAATACTCGAAAGAATTGAGAAGGTCTTGAGAAACCTGTTTACTTAAAAAGAAATGAGGGAAGGGGAGGAAAGATTTTATAAATTGTTATATATCTTGTCAGTCTGCTTATATATCTCTCTATGTCAGACTGTGCATATCTATCTATCCATCTATCTATGCCGGGCCGTTCATATTCTCTCTCTCTCTCTCTCTCTCTCTCTCTCTCTCTCTCTCTCTCTCTCTCTCTCTCTCTATCCACATCTATCTATATATGCCAGGCTGTTCATATTTCTCTCTCTCTCTCTCTCTCTATGTCAGTCTGTTCAAATCTATCTATCTATCTATCTATCTATCTATCTATCTATCTATCTGTCTGTCTATTTCAGTCTGTTCATATCTATCTATCTAACTAGCTAGCTAGCTAGCTATACATGTCTGTTCATATCCTTCTCTCTCTTTATCTATCTATCTATCTATCTATCTATCTATCTATCTATCTATCTATCTATACATGTCTGTTCATTATCTATCTATGTCAGTATGTTCATCTATATCTATGCTAGTCTATCCATTTCTATCTTTCTATCTATGTACGCATGTTAATCTATTTTGCAAAGCACATTCGTTCATGGCTCTCTACAACATTCTTTTTTTTCTATCTGTTAATAATGTTTGCTTTTTTACAGTCTTTTCATTTACAATGTTGTTCATTCTGTACAATTCCAAGAGCCACTTGATGTAGAGTATTACAGAGTAAATGCACAGATTATGACACATAAGGAAGATAACAGTTAACCTGGACTTGAACTGAGTAACATTACAATAATTGGGAAAGCATATTCTTTGGAATCGGTTCCACGGAGCACATGTTGGAGAAATAAAGCTGATTCAGTAGAACTTACATCTCACCAATGAAATACGAAGGGTTGAGAATGTTTTTCATTTAGGATTTAGGATTGGTAGAACTAAGGAGTCTAGTTTTTCTGGACACTTTTCATGAAAAAGCGATAGATGAGTGTGGGTCTTGCCACGTTTCGCCTGTGAGAAACGGGCTGTGGGGTGGAAAATAACTAATCACCCACAAGGACGCAGATAGTAATCACCCTCAAGGACGCAGATACTAATCAACCTCAAGGACGCAGATACTAATCACTCTTAAGGACGCAGATACTAATCACTCTTAAGGACGCAGATACTAATCACCCACAAGGACGCAGACACTAATCACCCACAAAGACGTAGATACTAATCACCCACAAGGACGCAGATACTAATCACCCACAAGGACGCAGACACTAATCACCCACAAAGACGTAGATACTAATCACCTTCAAGGACGCAGATATTAATCACCCACAAGGACGTAGATACTAATCACCCACAATGACGCAGATACTAATCACCCACAAGGACGCAGATACTAATCACCCTCAAGGACGCAGATACTAATCACCCACAAGGACGCAGACACTAATCACCCACAAGGACGTAGATACTAATCACCCACAAGGACGCAGACACTAATCACCCTCAAGGACGCAGATACATTTCTGGACACTTACTGGACCGGTTCAAGGAACCATTCCTTTTTAAGCGATTATCTTTTCCGATGACTCGTACGTACGAGATCTACTAAAGATCTGGTTTGAGTTCAAATCACAAAAGACGCTCAAGGCATGGGGACACCCTGAGGAAACACCCATTCATCGAGATTTAAATTCAGGGTCCGCTGGTTGATGATGATGGAACGTCAGTAATTTTGTTTACCAACTCCCGGGTCTGTTATCCATTTATACAAGCCTTTGTCCATCTTGCCTTCATTATACCCAGTTTCAAATTATCTAAGATTTCTTCCCTTATTATTTGTCCTATATATATTAAATGCCTCTTTCAGAGTCTAGTTATTTTTGTTTCCATTTTTCTGAAGTTTCTTAGTTGCTGACTCTCTCGTCCAATTAGATTCTCCTGTAAGACCATATATCCATTGAGTCAAGTCTCCTCTTTATCTGTTGAAATTGTCCAGTATACTACACAAAATGTAGCATCGAAAAGTAACATTACTTTTCTGTTTTTATCTCAAGGCACATATAATTTAATGACTATAATAAAATCCAAAATAACTGACGCCATCAAATAATATATTGTAGACTTAAAAAAATTCAAGCATAAATTCAGATGACGTACTTATATTAAATTAAATATTGCCGGGAGATTTGACTGAATTTGTTTGTTTAATAACAATTTTATTGTGAAATCATTGACTTGCATCATAAAATCTAACAGAACCCACACACACACGCACACACACGCACACGCACGCACACACACGCACACACGCAAACACATGCACCTTCATCCCTATACCCCCGCGTACGCGCGCACGCGCTCACGCACGCACACACACACACACACACACACACACACACATATATATATATATATATATATATTTCTGTGTGCGTTTGTTTGTGTGTGGGTTTACGATTCTTTGTATCCCATTATAAGCATTGGCTTTTTACCATCCTTCCCTACACTTCCCTGATAAGCCATCCAATTTACCCAAGCAGGTTAGGTTAATCGCTGTTCCCTTCTTGCCCACAATATTCAAAATCTTGCCTGTGAGTGTCAAGTCTTCGTTCCTCATAATGTGTCCAAGTAAATTTAACTGTATTTTTCTGTATTTATTTGAATTAGAAACGTTCTTTTTCTTTCCATTTTCCTTAAAACTTCGTCGTTACTCACATGTTCAGACCATGGTAATCTCAGCATCCTACAGTAGAACCACATCTTTATTTAACACTATTGTTAACGATTGGACTATATTTTTTGTTAAGAATAAGTGGTTTGTAACAAAGAATTATTATATCCATGTAGGCTCATGGACGATTTTCAGAAATTGCTTAAATCTAAGTAAACACTATATATATATATATATATATATATATATATATATATATATATATATATAAATATATATATATATATATATATATATATATATATATATATATATAAATATATATATGTGTGTGTGTGCATGTTGTGTGTGGGAGAGTGTATGTGTGTGCGTGTCTTTTGTGTGCGTGTATCTTTTTTAATATTTAACCATTCCAAGCGTAAATCGAACGTGCGTCCATGGTCATTAACTTAGCTCTTGACGCATTAGATATCTGATTCTGAAGTTAAGCTTGGAATTTAGTGGAGGTCAGCAGAAGTCATCTTAGAGAACCACATGCTATTTCTAACTAAATGAATCAATTTTACCAAAATCGAATGCTATATTGAATTTACTATGAAGTACAAAAATATATTTATCTTTATAAACGCCAAGGTGGATAGCATCAAATTCAATCATAGAGGTTACTGAAGGTCATTCGAGCCAGAAGTAGTTATTGCAACTAAACGATTGCATTGATAGACGGGAAAATAGAGGCAAAGATGCCAGAACAAGACAGAAGAAAATATATTGTTGGCCTCCAAATTCATTGTGGCCGTGGTCAAATCTGGATCAAAATAACATTTTAAATCAAACGCAAGTAATTACAGGGTTAAAAGAAAATTGGCCTTTGTGAACCATTGCGCAGTATAGAGAATGCTTTCAAACAAAGATTTTAAAATTTGACCCCCCCCTTTCCGAAAAATAATACTTATTTTTTTAAACATGTTTTCATAAGTCACTCCAAACCAGTGGAAATATAAATTTGTGAGTGAAATATTTTTGTTTCACTTAACAGAATGATTCACATCATAAAAGGATAGAGAGACACTCAAAGTAGAGCTTTACTGATACAGTGTAACCCGGATATAAGAGTCCCGGATATAAGAGAGATTTTCTCTGGTCCCAAATTAGAGCCTGTGTTAATGTATATAAAATAGACCAAACCCGGATATAAGAGAAACCCGGATATAAGTGATTTCTTCTCCGGTCCCGACAACTCTCTTATATTCGGGTTACACTGTAAAATGTTAATGATGCATGATATAAATTTAAGAGTAGGTAGTATTCAGTAGACCTGATGAGGATAAGGAGGATAAATAATGATTGATCCTTGAGTTAAAGACGTTCACTTTGTATTGTTCAGGGAAGATTTCTTGGGGTAGTTGTTTATACAAAATAGCAGGTCTGAGAAAAAAAAAAGTGAGTAGATTTTCTGCATAATATTTGAATACGTCAGAGATGAGCGTTATTCAAATCAGTGGAAGTGTCTCCTGTAAAATTCTAAAATTACATCATTAAAGAACGTAGCTCACTTGAGCGTTTGCAAATGAAATAGCGAGAGATAAGCTTGCCACTTTACATCTGTGGGAAAAAAAACTGCAGTGGAGGTGATTAGGTCTCCTTCAAAAAATGAATAATATATTTAGAACGAGCTATTTTCTGGTGGGGGAATGGTACCCTCCTCCAAACAAAACTACGGTTTTTAATACTATCGAATGACTAAATTCAAAGCTGGGCAAAAACATTGGGGTGATTCGTTTGTAAAATTTAAATAGCATAATTCTGGAATATTCTAAAGAAGATGTAAATTCTAATGAATTACTTATTTTCTGGCGGGGGAGTGGTGCCCTGGTGTTCCTTCCTACAGTTTTCAATCGGATTTTGAGATGTCCATCATGCTTCTTGAAATCACAATACTCTATAACAACGCCAAGTTATCAATTACCTAATGATTCATATCATCGAGGCGGAATTGGAGACGTTTTCATTTCTAAGTTTTCTATGATTTCAAGATCCTTATTTGCCTTTGCATTGAATAAACATCAATTTCCGCTGAAGCCAATCTTTGTTATAGTCTTATAGTCGTCAACGGGACACAATGGAGATCGTTAACTTCTCCATGATTTTCCCATAACGGTTTTGAGGTTAATTTTTCTAAAAATAAATCCCTTAAGAAACATTTCAACCTCTTTTCCAGTAGAGTAGGCGCTAGAGCTTGGCACCCAGAAGACTTGGATGCTAATCGTGATGAAATGATTAATGAATCAATCATATATATCATTAAAAATTAATAAGAGATCCATCCTCGCTGTGTAATCTATATGTATTGCTAAATGCAACAATACGCTAAGCTAAGGATATTAAATTGTCCTCTCATCGTGTCTAATCACCGTTTAATGTATTAGTGCTCATTATTGCTAGGTGAGTAGATAAAAATGGTCACCAGATGATGGGATATGTATTATTCAGATTAATCTAAATAAATAATACCAAGATAGCCTCCCCGTGAAAACGAGATCCAAATCAAGGTAAAAAAAAAGATGAATAATACAGGGTGTTTCAAAAAATTTGATATCCTTTGAGATGTAAATATCACAGAAAGTACATGATTAAGGCAAATGAAATTAAAAAGTATTAATGTTGAAGATCATAAGATTTATTCTTCTAAATCTGAATGAGAAATTCAAAAGCATGTGGATTATGTGAACGATTTCACAAATGTTCAATATGCCCACCGCCTGAGACACGACATTTTTATACCTATAAAGAAAAAGATTAAAGATTAAAGAACATAAAAATACAAATAAGAAAAACACAAAAACATAAAGACATAAAAACATAAAACAAACATTAAACATAAAGATGCTATTAAAATTTGAAGTTA